TGGGCGGCCGCAGCAGAGGAATCCTGTGGAATCCCTGGTGACAGTGGGGCTGTCAGTGGTCAGACAGTCTGAGCCGGGACCCCAGGGAACTCTGGTGGCGAGTGGGCAGCAGGATGGGAACCCTAGCCTTGGGAGCTCCAGGGACAGGAGCCTGGGAATGGGGAACCAGCAGGGGAGCATTGACCTCCCCTGGTCCAGCAAACTCCCTGGTTTGGGACCCCAGGGTCAGACCAAGGAAGTCCAACATGTAGTATGACCATAGGGATGCATAGTTTAACAATGTAGTTTTGTTTCTGAGCTAGAAATAAATGATACTTCTATTGTGGAAAAATATTACCAGATGAGAAATGACAACCTACATTTTTACAACAAAAGATGCTCCCCTCAGCCCACCATGTGAAGCAGGGATGGGGAACCTAAGGCCCAGGGGCCAGAAATTGACCCTGGCTTGCTGGGATCTAGCCCCTGAGGCTCAGAACCAGCCCCCCATCATTGGGGAGCTCGCGCTGGCACTCCAGCCCCCCCTTCTGCTCCACTGTGGGGCTGGAGCACACAAAATATACTGACCTAGGTCTCCTTAGGCCATGGGCAGGGAAAAGGGCCTCTGCGGGCCAGATTTGGCCTGCCAGACGGGTGGATCTGGCCTGCGGAGGCCCTGCCGCTCGTCTGCTTTTAAGTGCTGCGTACTGCTCACAGGGCAGGGGCAGAGCAGAGGAGGCTTTGCGTATTCCCCTGTCATCAGGTCCTAATTGGCCGAGGAACAGGGGAGCATGGAAGTCTCCTCTCAGCTATTTAAAACAACATGGCTGTGTCTAGACTGGTCTGCTTTTAAGTGCTGCGTACTGCTCACAGGGCAGGGGCAGAGCAGAGGAGGCTTTGCGTATTCCCCTGTCATCAGGTCCTAATTGGCCGAGGAACAGGGGAGCATGGAAGTCTCCTCCCACACCAGGGGCATGGGCACCTAAAGGGAATGGGGGGAGGGGAAAGGCACTTTCTCACCCCCAGACCAGTCATTGTCTGAGGGTGGGGAACCGGGAAGTATCTTGGCCCCACCCCTTCTGCTTGATGCTCTGCCCCTTCCTGTACAGTCTGGGGTTACTTCAAAAATTTCCAAAGTGACGCCCAGCAAAAAATTATTGCCCACCACTGCCCTAAGCTCTGGTGTTTGAGGGAAATATGGAGAGTATCCTTCTCCTTCTCACACATCATCAAGAGGTTTTTTTCCGCTTCTCACTTGTGAGCAACCCCAACCCAAAAAAGTTTCCCCACCCCTTATGTAAAGCAACTTTTGGTCATCCATGCCAAAATTTCAAACAGCTTTCAGAATGTAAAGAAGTTGGCAAGATTTCACCTCAAAAGACTACCTAGCAGCAAGAGGCAGAATTGGTGTAAATAAATAGATGCTGTTGCATAGCTTCTCTCTGTCTGTCTGTCTCTCTTTCTCTCTCTCCCTCCCTCTCTGTCTCTTTTTTTTGGGGGGGGGGGAATGTTTCTAGTGCTGTGAAAATAATGGAATTTTGGTTCACTGCAAGTTTTGAAAAATAATAGAATAATAAGATTTGGGTAGATTTGACATTTTTTTGAAAATGTTGATGTATCAAAAAGTCATTTCATTTCAGTGTAATTTTGAGCATTTTATTGTTTTTATTAATAAAATAAAATTATTGAACAGAAAAATCAAAACACTTCACTTAGAAAATATCAAAACAAAATACTTTGATATTTTTCAGACTTTTTATAATTGTTTCATAAAAAAAATTAGTGGAATCAATACAGCTTTGCAAAGTGTTTTGGTGTTGCTGAGTTTGCATATTTTGTTTTGTGAGAGGGAGGAGAGTTGACCACTACATTTCACCCTATGCTATTTCGTACATTGTGACAGTCCAATAATTGCTAAAACTGATTCTTGGCATAGCCATTCAAGTGTATCTTAGAACTAGGACACCTCACATTTTGTAAGAATCAAGTTGGAACCCAGTCCTATGATCTTTACTCAGTCAAAGCTAATATTGACTTCTGTTGGAGTTACATCTGAGTGAAGAGTGTATGCAGGATTGACTCTTGGTTTTTTTTTTTAAACAATCTATCTGTAAAATATTTCTGTAGAGCTTGCCATAAATTAAAGGGAAATGGAATCTATTTAATTTTGCATAGCACTGTTTATATCTTGATAAGTATTTCTTGCATTGCTCCATATAAATTGAATTGAATTTTAGTTCCATTCAGATTAGCATTTTTTATTATCAGCCCAGGCTTTTGTGCTGGCATACATTTATAAATTTTACAACTTAGTTTTGTTAGTTAAACTATTCTGAATGTTAGTATATGTTTTACAGAATGCTGAACTTTGAGAAAGAAAGGTGTAGTGTATTGAGCCACTCTTAATATAGAACTGAAAATGCCACCAGGTGAGAACTTCTTTTTTAATTTCCAACATGCATTTTATTCTTCGAATTGGGTCTGAATGCTCAATAATTCCATCTGTTGATCTTTTGTGCTTCCTTGGATTAATTCTTGGTCAGTGCTTATAGCTGTTTTTATGTTATGTTTTATGAACTTTTTTATATATAGTTTGCAGGATTTATAAAATTGATAGTTAATATGATACACAGTGTATTTGAGATTTGTCTTGACATGTATAAGAGATAACTGATTAAATAGGATTTTACATTCCTAGTAATTTAATCAGCATCAGTTGGGGGTTGGGGAGGAGAGGGTTGTTCTATCCCCTGCTGGTTAATTGGAACCAGTTAACCATTCACATCTCTATGTCCTACATTTATTGCTGCTTTGAGTTAGTCTTCATTGGTTGCCATTGTAAAGGGGAACTTTTTCTTAGTTTTAAGGTAAAACTTAAGGTAAAGTAAAAGTCCTGATTAATGTAATTCATGTATGGTGAAAATGCTACTCTCCTCTCCTAAAAGTGTGATCAAGTGCTGTTTAGTGAACCTAATTATTAAACCAAATCATTTTAACTTTTCTACTTTTCTTTTTTCCAGTGGAGAGTGAGGCAAAGGCAAAAACGAAGGTTCGCTTTGAGGAAATATTCAGAAGTCATTCTGGGCTGACAGACAAAAAGAAATTAAAGAAGCAAAAATTTCACTCTCATGAGACTATTTTGGTGAGTTTGGCAACCTTAGAATGCTGATTCTCATTGCCTTGGTGGAAAAAAATCATAAAATCATAGAACACTAGAACTGGAAAGGACTTCGAGATGTCATCAAATCCAGTCTCCTGCCCTTACGGCAGGACCCAGTATCTCTTAACTATCTCCAGAGATGGAGATTCCATGACCTCCCTAGGCAATTTATTCCAGTGGTTAACCACCCTGACAGGAAGTTTTTCCTAATATCCAGTCTAAACCTCCCTTGTTGTAGTTTAAGCCCATTGCTTATCCTATCCTCAGAGGCCAAGGAGAACAATTTTTTCTCCCCCCCCTCCTTGTGACACCCTTTTAGATTCCTAAAAGCCACTATCATGTCCCCTCTCAGTCTTCTCCTTTGCAAACTAAACAAGGCCAGTTCTTTCAGTCGTCCTTCATAGGTTATGTTCTCTAGACCTCTAATCATTCTTGTATTCATCCCATAACTGTCAGGGTATACTTCATCCCTCTCTACAGAAAGGATATGCTTCAGCAAGCACTATGGAAAAAAAACCATGGTGTTTGCTTTATAACAGGTGCCTTTCATTGTTAATGCATGTCCTTTATTCATTAATGTCTATGCTGATCAATAAGAGTAAATAGTAGGGATATGTCTACACTAGCCTTCTAGTTCGAATTAGGGAGGCTAATGAGGGCAACCAAAATTACAAATGAAGCATGGGATTTAAATATCCCACTCTTCATTAGCATGTTCCTGGGCGGTCGTCATTTTGGAAATTGACTAGCCCGGAATAGCTGCCCGCGTCTACACGTGGCAGTGAAACAGGAGTTCGAAGTAAAGCCCTAACTCGAATTAGCTGTTATTCCTCCTGGAATGAGGTTTAACAGCTAATTCGAATTAAGGGCTTTACTTCGAACTCCAGTTTAGACGGGGGCAGTTATTCCGGGCTAGTCAATTTCCAAAATGGCGACCACTCGGAAACATGCTAATGAAGCGTGGGATATTTAAATCCCGTGCTTCATTTGCAATTTTGGTCGCCCTCATTAGCCTCCCTAGTTCGAACTAGGGGGCTAGTGTAGACATACCCTAGTTTACAACTTACAAGTGACCTTGATATACTAGTAATGTAATTCAAGGTTAATGTTAAATGGTGGCTATTGACATGCCTATAGTTAAAATTGTGTCAATCTATTTCTTATCCATCATGTTTCTCAGAATTTTGGAGGTCATCCCTCAAGCTTTCCAAATTCACATTAACTTCGGTGCGAGTGTGATATGTGAAGGTTATGTGTGATGTGTGCAAGATTATTCCCACAGTACTAGTATTAGTTAGCTCTTAGAGCAACTCTGTGGCATAGGCAGGAAGAAAATCTATTTAACCAATGTGGCACTTAAGTGCCTTAACCATGACACCATATTTTATTACATACCTTCCAACGTGTAGAACAAATGAAGTGCAGGTTCTACAGATAACAATTTCCTTCACTGTATAACCAAGATTCATCCCTAAAGAATCATCCTTTCTGCTCACTGAAAGAGGCAGGTGTCCTGTGAATAGAATAGTATGTGATCATGTAATAAAAGTCATAATGCATATATCCTAGTGTCATGAATTAAGGTTCTGCAGGCTGGAGCTCTCTGAGGAACAAAGGTAGGGGTGGGCAATAATTTTTAATGGGGGGTCCACTCTAAGATTTTAGTAAGTGGTTGAAGGCCACACTTCTATGGAGGGTGCACGCGGCCTGGCACAGCAGGTGGGGTGTAGAAGGAAGCTTGGGATAGAGTACTGCGGAGCAGGAGGGGATGTGAGGTCTGAGAGGGAGTTTGGGTGAAGGAGGGGGTTATGATCTGGGGTTGGGGATAAAGATGTTAAATACCAGTTAATTTACTAGTCGAGTAGTTGGTGGAATTTCTGTCAACTACTCGACTAATCGATAGGCACTTCCGCATTCCTCCTACTGGGGCTCTTGTACATTTCAAAGGAGGAATGCGGTAGAACACCGTGTGCAGCCCAGGGCCAGTGGAAAGTCCTGCTGATTCCAGGCTGCATGTGGGCGTGCTACCTTTGAAATGTACAAGAGTCCCCAGAGGGGTCTCGACTAGTCAAATTGGTTCTCCGATAAGCATTTTCTTATCGGATAGTCGACTAGTCCTTAACATCCTTAGTAGGGGATTATGTTGCAGTGGCTGAGAGGAAGTATGGGTGCAGGAGAGGATTTTTGTCTGTGGGAAGGGTGTAGGATGGAGTACAGGGGCTGGGAGGGAGTTGTGATCTGGGAGAAGGGGGGGGGGAAAGAGGGTGCAGAGGGTTTGGGTGATGACCTAGGGCAGGGGAATGGAGTGCAGGTCAGAGAAGGGTAGGGGTGCAGGAGAGGTTCTAGCCTGGAGGCAGGAGATAGGAGGAGGTGCAGGGTCTGGGACGGAGTTGTGACTTGGAGGAGGTGGGGAGAGGAGTAAGAGGTTTTGGGTGGTAACCTGGGGCAGGGAGAGGTTGTGGCCTGGGATAGGAAATTGGAGGAGAGAAGGGGTGGGGTGCCAGACGCTGGCTGTGTCTGGGAGGCGCTTAAATAGATGTCTCCCAGCCAGCAGTCCTGCAGGAACCTGAGGCAGGCTCCATGCCTGCCTGATGGGTTAGCTGCTCCACATGGCACTGCTCTAGCATGGAGAAGGGATGTGAGGAAGGCTTTGCTCACTGTCTCTGCCTTCAGCAAAATTTCTCAGCTCCTCTTGGCTGGAAACAGGCCAATGGGAGCTGAGGGATTTTGCTAGGGGGCAGGCACTGTGTGCAAAGTCTCCCTGTCCTTCCCAGCTTGCAGAGCAATTAGCAGTCAGCTATTTAAAACAACATGGCTGTGTCTAGACTGGCAAGTTTTTCCAGAAAATCAGCCGCTTTTCTGGAAAAACTTGCCAGCTGTCTACACTGTCCGCTCGAATTTCCACAAGAACACTGACTTCCTACTGTCTGAAATCAGTGCTTCTTGTGGAAATGCTACGCTGCTCCCGTTCGGGAAAAAGTCCTTTTGCGCAAAGCTTTTGTGCAAAAGGGCCAGTGTAGACAGCACAGTACAGTTTTCCGCAAAAAAGCCCTGATCACGAAAATGGTGATCGGGGCTTTTTTGCGGAAAAGTGCGTCTAGATTGGCCACGGACGCTTTTCCTCAAAAAGTGCTTTTCCAGAAAAGCGTCCTGCCAATCTAGACGTGCTTTTCCGAAAATGCTTTTAACGGAAAACTTTTCCGTTAAAAGCATTTCCGGAAAATCATGCCAGTGTAGATGTAGCCCTCAAATTGCTATGTATTAAGGGAGGCTGCCATAGGCTGGATCCAGTGGCTTGGATAGCCAAATTCGACCTGCTAGCCACCTCTTACCCATCCCTGAACTAAGGTCTCAGCCTTCCCATAGGCAGCTTTTTGTACCACTAATAGAGTTTGTATGTTCCTGTAATTTGCTAGCTTTTGTGAAACAGTGTTTGATTATACTTAGGAGGAGCTTCTGTTTTGCTAAGAGGGTTGTGGATAAAAGGTTTTGTCATTCCAATTAGGCATATATCCATGTGTGGATGCCTTAGATGTTGAATTGTTCAAAGTTTACAAATAATGGGTCACACCTGTCAAAATAAGTGTGATTCTTTGGTGGAATACTTCTTACATATCAGAATAATTACAGAAAATCAAATATATGTAAATGATTAAATCCAAATTATTTTCGGAAAATAAACTGCTTCTTCAGCCTATAAGGAAAGTATAAGGTCCTGTCAAAGACAAGAATGACACAATCTTGACTGTGGTGTCATTGTAGATCCTATAATTAATTGTCTGTTAAATAGCTTCATCCATTATGCTTTATGGGTAAAACCTGCTCAGTAAAAATGCAGATAAAGAGGTTTGATAATCCATCCATAATCAGCTGAAGTTTTTGTATGCTTTACCTTTTTTCATTTTATGTTGTATGTAATCTGGTGCATTTTTAGCCACTGTATACATATGTTTATTTTCTTTCCTTTACCCGTCACTCTTAATTACCTGTATATAATCTGCCAATCTTTTTAGATTGTTGGCTTTTGTATAGAAAGGATGTTATTGGACTACCTTAGCAGAAAAAAATTAAATTCATATGATGATGAGTATTTTCATAATTGAATCCCACATAGTTTTAAGTATGCTCTGTGTACTTAAAAATACGGATGCCTACTGAAAAGGTGTGTAAATACAGGGCTGGCCTTAGTTATTTTGCTGCTCTAGATCAGTGGTGTGCAACCTTTTTTCAATCATGACCCCCCACAGCTGGGCCCGGCTGTTGGCGGCAACATGGTGCTTAGATCCGGGCGGCCAATGGCTGGGCCCAGTGGTTGATGGCTGCGTGGCAAGGCGATCCCCCAGGAAGACATCCATGACACCCTTGGGGGTCACAACCCACTGGTTACGTACCACTGCTCTAGATGATCATTGCATGTAGTCCCATTCCTTGTTCTTCCATTCATGTACATCCCACTTAATTATTTATTTTAATATTTTAGCATAATACTTTCTTTTTGAGTAATACATTTTTACATTTATCTCTGGATTTGTGCTTCTCTTTCCTTTCCCTCACTCCCTTTTTTTTTAAACTCTGTGTTGGTGAATTTTTTTCTTCCTGTTCTCTGTTTATCCCTCTAAGTTATTCTTCTATTATGAATAATATTTTTTCTCTCTTGACTTCCCCCCCTTCTTTCTTTAACATCTTCAGTGTCTTTTCTTCCTCCTTATTTAATCTGTTCCCTCTTATTCTATCAGTTCTGGCTAAAACAGACTTCCTCCTCATCTCAAGGGTAGAGTGGAAGATTTGGCAACTAAGATAGCTGAGGTGAAACTTGTGATGGTGACAGATAAAACGTGATCAACTTTTCTTGCTTAGCTATATGAAAAGTCAAGCATATACTTCTTCCACTCTTCAGAGATGAATTTCTAGGACCTTGTCTATACTGGCAAGTTTGTTCTGGCTAAAACAGACTTCCTCCTCATCTCAAGGGTAGAGTGGAAGATTTGGCAACTAAGATAGCTGAGGTGAAACTTGTGATGGTGACAGATAAAACGTGATCAACTTTTCTTGCTTAGCTATATGAAAAGTCAAGCATATACTTCTTCCACTCTTCAGAGATGAATTTCTAGGACCTTGTCTATACTGGCAAGTTTGAGTGCAGTATATCAGCTCCCAGAGGTATAACTCCCAAGGTGTCCACACTGGTAAGGCATTTAAATGTGCACAAACTCTGCAGTTTCACCGCCCTTAAGAAAAATACCTCTACCAGAGGCAAACCCCTTTCTGCAGCAGGCTATCCCGCTGGGGTGCGAATGTAAACACTTCAATTGCTTTCTGAGTAGTTAATGACCTCTGGAAGTGTCCCATAATCCCTCAAGTGCCCACTCTGGTCATTGTATTGAACTTTGCTGGTTGCCCTGGTGTGCCTTTCCGCTTTCAAGCACTGTTTATGACAGCCTGAAAACTGTGGTGATCTGCTCCAGGAAACAGAGCAAGTCATTCTAGTGGTATGCTTGTACCATTGAACACAGAGGTAGGAATGTGTCTGTGAGACAGATTGCTGATGTCTGGGTTTCTCTCTCCTGCTGTGTCCTGCCATTGTCTGAACTTACAAGACAGAAGGTTGATGCCCTATCTGTTTCCCCCAAAACACACAATTTCTCCCTTCTCCCCCATACATGCACACACTCCCTGTCACACACTCTACCCGCTTCTTCTGCACTTCAGTTGAAAAGCAGCTGTCAATGTAGAAGGATGACCATGGAACAATGGAATTAGGAAACTGCATTACATTATGCTGTCTGCCTCATGCGGCATTGCAAACCATTCCCAAAGTACTCTGTGGCCAGTTACCCCATGGGATAGCTACTGCAATGCAGCGCTCTCCGTGCCATTTCAATAGCTGCTATTGTGAATATGCTCCACTATCACAAGGAGCACAGTATGAACACGGAACAACAGTTTAATTCCAGCACTTTAATAAAACAAATATAACTTGTCAGTGTAGACAAGGCATAGAAATCAGATTCCAAAAGTTCATTTGCCTTTGTAGCCGCATGCTTTAGCCACATCTAGGGTTGGGTCTGCCTGCCTCCTAACCCCTTCGTCAGTCCCTGAGGATGATATTTCATGGCGTTATCTAGACAGACCAGATGAATATTTCAATTTCCCTATATAATATCCTTAAGTATTAATAAAAACATGAAACAAAAAAACAATAACCCAGAAAAGAAATAAAAAATATAAGTTATTTAAAGGGATCCCATCAATCTAAAATTAGTTTGTCTTTTTATCTGCTGTTCTTATAAGTAACACTTGTGATAGGGGTCCTCAAAGTTTGTGAAAAGTTGTCAAGGGTGCTTTGGCCGCTGTGTCCTTCTTAGCCAGATAGAAAGAGAGTCTCAGGATTGTCTCACTTTTGAAAAATATGGTAATGGCAAAGAAGATTTTTTTCCATAGTTTTATAAGAGCTGTCCTCTTTAGAGTTGTCAGTTCTTAAATTTTATCTGGTTTCTTTTGGAATGTGATTTCCTTGTCAAACTTTGACAGATTACTCATGATAAAAAAATGAGTCCAGACAGTCATTGGTACCTCTAACATTAATACTTACTTGTATTTGAGACATGTTTTGGTTCTGCCTTTCATTTTTGCGGATCTTTCAAAATATATTAGATTGACATCATTATGGAGTAGTCCTGTTCATAAAAGTAGTTTAGAATTTTTACTGTGTAGTGAATATAGATGTAAGATGTTTGTTTAAAAAGAACATTGGAAGTACAGCACAAGTACAATCACTTATTTTAAGCATGAATTATCTGTTACTGTTCCATCTGGTACTCATTAGGTTTAAACAAGACAGTGATTAGATGGCTAGTTTCATTTTTACATTTCACAATATAGTGTAAACTGATAATGTACTAAACTATTTTAGTAACATTACATAGGATTTATACTTAAAATTATGTTCTGTGTTTTATTTCTAGCTTGACACTTTTAGAAATAATCTTGATCTAGCTAAAGAAAGTGGAAATGATGAGGTAATTATAAATAACACTTATAATCCTGAGGAAAAGAGCCCCCGGTTTACAAAAAACAAACTAAGAGACAAAGCTTCAGTTGCAGAAAAACTAAACAATGATATTGTTAGTGGAGAAGAAAACAATCAACCAAAGTCTGACAAGAAGAAAAAGAAAGCAGTGTTACAAGAACAATTTAATGAGGAGGAAAAGATACATGAAACTAAATTGGAGACTTTTGAGAAACAGATTTCTGATTTTCCAAAGAAGAAAACAAAAAGTAAATCACAGACAGATGCATCTTATCAAAAAGGTGACGACAAGATAAAAAGTACCTTGAATGAAGCAAGAGATGTAACTGATTTAGAAGAGGAAGAACAGCTAATTCAAGCCTATCAGCTGCAAGTGGCTGAAGATGAGGCAAGTGCAATTAAGGAGAAGATAAGAAAAAAACTTAAACAACAGATGTCTGAATTTACCTCCAGTGTTCAAAGCCAAAAAGTTGTATTGAACAATGAAGTGGGCAAAAAGAAGAAAAAGAAGAAAGAAGTGCCAGTTGTATCTGAAGCTGAAACAAGGTATAATGGTAAATTGTAATCAATGCATGTATACTTCTTTTTTAAAGTGTTTGATTTTCAGGATGGGGAAAGAATGTTTTAATGGAGCTGCAATATTTTTTTAATTGTGAACTAGCCCGATGATTTTATTTTGTGAGGAGGGAACCTCTCCTCTCCCAGCCCCAGAACTCTTTCTGTCTCATATCTAAAAATGTTGCCAAGAGCCATACTAATTTGTAAGAAATTACAAACTTGAATAACCTTTTTTTAATGTTGCAATACTGTATTTAACTTATCAGTTATTTACTGTGGATGCCATTCCTTGACTAAGGATGTTAAAATGTGATTATTTGGCTAATCGTATAGTCAATACAATTTGTACTGACTATATGATTAGTCTATAAGTGCCTCTGCAGAGCAGCAGTGGGGGAGTTTCAGAGGAGCCAACTCAAGCCAGTACTGAGTAGTCCTGGCTTGTTCCCCCTCTAGAGACACTGGGCTCTTACTACATTTAAAACGCAGAGGCACAGCAATCAGCGTGAGCTGGAACTGCTTGGTCTTGGCTTATGCTAAGTCCAGCAGCCCGTGTTCATGGCGGACAGCCCTGTCCACTGCACACAGTGGCTGGTGCCGCAGCAGCCCTTGTTCACAGCGGCCAGCACTGACTGCGGGCAGAGCCTGCTTAGGCAGCAGCCCCTGCTCCAGCACCAGCCCCTGTTCATGGAAGGCAGGGCTGGCCGCAGACGGGCTGTTGCCTAAGCAGCCCCTTTCCATGACCAGCCTTGGTTGCTTCAAACAGGGGTTGCTTTGAGGTAACAGTCCCTGTCCACGGAGGGGCCCAACTCCCAGCTCGGACCCCTCCGGACAGGGGCTGCTTCACAGCAGTGTCCCCTCTCCCCCCTAGCTGCCTCTGATAGAGGCAGAGGGGGCCGGCAGCACCCCGGAGGTAGTGCTGGGGTGAACTGGCTTTTAAGCCAGCTCCCCCCAGCACCAGCTGCTGCCCTTCCCCTTGCTGCCTCTGTAAGAGGCAGCAAGGGGGGGGCACCACAGAGAGCACAGTGCAAGCGGGGACTGCTTGAGTCCCTGCTTGCCCTGTGCTCCCTGCGGCGCTTCTGCTTTTGAAATGTACAAGAGCCCTGCAGTCCCTGCTCGCACAGTTTCCCATTGTGCCTCTACTTCCCTTCAGAGATGGTGCTGGAGGGGAACCAGCTTTACCGGTTCCCCCCAGCACTGGCTCCTGCTCCCCTCTGCCTTGCTGCTTCTCTCTGATAGAGGCAGCAAGAGGGGGGAGCGACTAGTCGAGGTGACTATCCAATAAGCATTTGCTAGTTGCTTACATTCCTATCCTTGACTGTGTGGCCTTTGGCTCAAACCTGATTAAAATCAGGCATTAAGGAATATTGTCTTAAGTCAAAAGTATTTATTCACTCAATTAAAAGAATGTATCGTTCTTTAGTATCTATTTCATGTGGACTATCGGTCTGATCCTGCAATTATCATGTTTAAATTTATGCACATGAGTAGTCTTGTGACTACATGAAAACATTTTACAAGGTAAGACTTAGGATAATAAAATGGAGCGATAAAATATGTGTCACCATATTAGCTAATCAAACCAAAATATATTTTCATGGGATTGAAGTTGGGGAGCTAATGAGTTCAAGAAACAAGAAGAGGCTGTTTCAGAAGTCAAGTCTTTTTTAATAGATTAACAATGGAAACAGTGTATACTTGCTGATAGTGTTGTACGTTAAATTACAGTGTGATGTCCCTTGCTGAACTACAGCCTAACCCAGTGGAAGATAATAGCAAAAAAAAGTCACCAGGAAGATTGCTTGCATCTGCCTTTAAAGATGAAATGAACACAGAGGAATACAAGGAGGAGGAAGATGTGGAAAAACTGAAACCTAAAATAAAGAAAGCAAAAAAGAAATCTAAAAAAGGTTTGTGTACTCAAAATATTATACACATTGAACCTCTAAAATCTGGGACTCTGGTCCGGCAACATATATGGTCTGGCAGGACCATGGATATTGCTGGACCAGAGAGCCCCAGCTGGCCAGGTTCAGAAGTGCATCCCAGGCTGGGCTGGCAGTAAGGAGTGCTGCCCCTGCAGGGTGGTGCAGTGGGGCATACAGCCCTAGCCAGGGCTTATAGCCAGGAGAGCAGCTCCCAGCCAGGGCTAGAGGCAGCAGTGCCAGCAGCCAGGAGCATAATATGTGGGGTGTGTGGCCCTGGCTGGGGCTGGAGGTAGCCGGTGCTGGAGGTAGTCCCAGCCAGGGCTGGCAGTGGGGAACACAGCCCCAATCGGGAGTAGAACCCTACGCCTGGGTTGGGAAGCATTGAACTTCCCCTTGTCCAGTAAATTCTGTGGTTCGGGACCACTCAAGTCCCGAGGGTGCCAGACAAGGGAGGTTTGACTGTAGTCAAATATTTTCATACTGGAAGACTTTGCTGCTGCTAGGAGATGCTTTTTCCTATCGCTGAGAAAAAAGGTGGGTTAGAATATTGTATAAATATTTAGTAGCAAAAAACCGTCAACTCAAAGTTCATGGTGCTTGGCAATATGTCATCTCACTGTAGAGTGTTTCATTAAGCAAGACTGAAATTTCTGAAAACCAGAAAATGCCGTTAAGGTTGCCCATGCAATCTTAACCCTGCACTCTTTCATCAGTTATTGTTATGTCCCATTAATACAAATACCTTTACTCTGCCACCCCCACAGTTGCTGAAATGTAAACCCTCTTCACCTCCATTCATTCTCACCCACAGGATTCTAAACCATGACCCCTGAGCCATTCACTGCAATCCCCACTCTAAGACCTCTCTCCACTGTTGTACCTAGTCCTCCCTACTGCATGCATGGAATACCTGTGCCTTCACACTCTGGTTTACACATGTTTCTGCCGCTGTTATTTCCTCCCTCTATAACTCGACTTACATTACATGCTTGGAGTGAAGGACTACTATGTTACAGTGTAATAGTGTTGGGGTGCAGGGGGTTGGGGTGCACTGACAGGTCAGTCAGGGTGCAGGGAGCTTGGTGTACGCTGGCATGCAGAGAAGTTGAATTCCAGAGGACTGAGCTGCACTGACAGAACTGAGGCCATTTGGAAGGGGTTAAGATGCACTGCCAGAGCTGTAGGGGCAGTTCTAGGCTCCTGCCTGAACCCCCAACCTCTTTTGCCTCCCTAATCATCCATCACCATGGCCCCTTTTCCCTTGCTACAGCCCTAAACCCAGTCTCCAAATCTCTCCTCCAGTCCCCCACTCCTCCATCCTATAATTCCTCTCCCCTCCTAGGAGGCATTTACACATCTATCCTCTTCTTCCCTCCACCCTCTTGGGTTTTGATTACATTCCCCCAAATTAATTTTGATGTCCACAACTCACAAATTATAGCAATATCCAGCCTCTCAGTCTAAGACTCCTTAGGGATGTGTGATTAATTTATCCTTTATGTTAAATAAAGTGTGAATTCACAGCCCTGAGTCTCAATAGGGTTTGTGGTTCATCCAGTCATAATTGTCTCTCAGTTTAACAGTAAAAGACAGCAAAAGGAAACCAGTTTCATAAGAGGGCCTGTAACTCAGAAGCCCCTCTGTCAAATGACCCCAAATGTGGTCTTGAGTGCTACCTTGCACCTTATGAGGCATAATCAATTTAAAAATAATCCGATTAGCTGTTTAGATGTTAGGACATTTACAAGAATTGCGATTCAAAGATGTAAAATGATGAGTCTGGAAACCTTCTAGCCATTTTTCTGTATTGGTACGTGCACAGTGTAAAAATTGTACACATTCTTACATGCTGTTCTCAGTTTCAAAGATTTGATGAGTGTCTTCAACTGCGTTGGTGTCAGCCGACGGTCAGGGCTCCCTATATCTGTCCCTTAAGACCGGCTGAAGTTCTTTTAAATTGTGCTTGGTTCTGTTACAGCAACTGAAAGAGTCAGGTTAAAGCTTAAACAGTTACAGGTTTATTAAAGAAGCTTATAAATCATATGGTTACAATGGCTATTGCTCTATTTCTTAACTACTAGCAAAATATAGATACTGCTAGCAAAATATGGATCTTAAAAATGGTTACAAAGAAGATAAAGATAGAAAAATAGAAATAATGGTACCAAGTAACAGCTTACTCTTTCTATGTGTACACTTAAGACAGAGGACCACATCCAGGTACAATTTTTACCCCCTTCTGTGCCTCTCGACTCCAGCATGTCAGGCCAGGGCCGGTCCCTCAATTCCTAGGAAAGACAAAAATACGAGGTGGGCGTCCCCATAGAACCTCGGGAGGTCAAACACCTAACCCGACCAGCAGGTAGAGGGTAGAATGACACTCAAAGTGAGCGTGTGCTGGACCCATCTTTTATACCCCATGGGGTCACGTATTTTCTCTTTCTTATCTGTAATGCCAATTGATGCTGGTCTGTCTGCTGTGAGACCAGTTCTTACAAGGGAGTTGTGAACTTAATTTACACTTGTAAGAGAGAATTGAGATGATTAAATTGGAAGTACAGGACATTGTTTTCTCAGTGGGAAATTCCCCTTCCAGGGACTGTGTGTGTTCGAATCAACATAGGTGCCAGCCGCAGCCTCGAGGCCAGCTTATTGACTTAACTGCTCTCTATCCACATATCTGTGTTTCAGCTTCTCAGGATCAGATGAGCCAGCATAGACTATGCTGATATTATTGCTCCTTCTCTGCCCTGTGCTTCAGAGAGGCAAATAAGATGGATGATATGGGGTTAGAAAGATATGGGGTTAGTCTGTCTGGCCACAGTTGGTTAAAATTTAACTTATTGAGACATTTTGACCTGTATGACATCAATAGTTTAATCTCCAGCTATAGGCAAGAGAAATATCCACTTAGCTATTTTTTTTAATTCTGTTTTTCCCAGAGCATACATCTGTACACATCTGTCTCAAATGACTGCAAATTTGATTCATTAATGCTATCATGCATCCATATGAGGCACACCTTATTTCAAAGAACTCCACTAAGTATGTTGATTTTAGAAGACTTTAAACATGCGAGGTGATGCAGACTTGACTGTAGTGGTGCTACTGTGCCACTATAATACTACAAAATAGCAAAGGAGGCATATGGCATATTTTCTGTTTCCTAGTTTTGGGTTGAATTAATTGAGAACTAGATGGGGGTACCAAATTAAGTCACAAGTGCCTATTGTAGTATAAGGGATTCAGCTAATTGTGCCAAATGTTCCTGTGCTAGTCTTACAATTTGTGAATAGTAAGGTATTTTTAATCACAATAACCATTCAACAGCCTATTGTTCAGTTATTGAAATCATAAAAGTCAGATGGCATAGATCCTGTAGTTTACTCTGGATGACTACTTTTATGCTGAAATCTCAGGAAGACCCTGTGCAAATCATGAATAAGGGTTATGGTTCAATAATTTTTATTTGATAATAAACATTGTTAGAGAATTCTTGTATTAATATACATGCATATAGACAAATATACATATGAAAAATGCTGTAAATCCACTGACGTTATTTTAACTATGTATTGCATACAAAAAAAGAACTAAACATAATTAGCTTAATGTAAAATTTGCTATGAAAATGGGATAGATTTTTATCCCTTATAATTTGTCACTAATCTCTATTTGAAGGTGGTTGTTGCTGTTATTTTTTCTTTGCTTCTAGCGTTAGAAGAAAACACAGAAATTGCAGAAAATGTCCAGGAAATGAACAGTCCAGAAGTTTACATTCAATCCAAACCTGCTTTTGATGACAGTTTTGTGTTAGGGGTTTACATCCATCGAACTGATAGGCTTAAAACTGATCTCATGGTTTCACATCCAATGGTCAAGATTCATGTGATTGATCAGAAAACTGGTTTGTATGTCAAGAAAGAGCACAGGTAATTTTATTGATTTGCTCCCCCCATTTAAACCAAAAAACAAAAAACAACCCTTTGTGTTCCTGCTTCCATATGCATAAATGTTTAACTTTAAGCATGGGTGTAGTCTTATAGACTTTAGATTAGCATTCTTAAAATTAGGCACATATATAATTGTTTGCAGAAATGGGGCCATTGTTTTTTCCACACTTGGAGCACATGTGTTATCAGAGTAACAGTGTAGCTGGTCAGACACACATTTGCTCTTGGGATGATTGACTTCTCTGAAAACAAGTCCGGAGATTGCAGAATCTTCAGAAGCCTAGTTGAGAATTAGCAAATAATCATACTGAGGCTTGAATAAGGTATTTCTTTTTTTTATTGATAAAATATCCATAATAATATTGAAATGAAGTTGGGCTCTACATTCAGACTAACACAGCTACCCCTCTGAAACTATTTTTCTTACTGTTTCGCTTACCTTTTCTCAATCTGCTAATAATTCAAAGCCCATTGAAGTCAGTGGTACTTGTGTTGGCTTCCATCATCTATGGATCAGGTGCAGTCAAAATGTTTGATTATTAGAATTTGGAACTCCAGCTATGCTTATTATCCTGTACATCATCAACTGCATTAAGAATTGTGGTGGTTATTGAGTATTCTTTCTAAAGTAAAGAGAGAGGCTATCTTGTCCTTTTTTTTTGTTTGTTTACATTTGTTGAACACGGTCACAGTATTTTGTTCTTTGCTTACTATTTTGATTGAAAATTTCAATTTGTTTTTAAACAGCAACCGGGCGGTTTCATCTTTTTATGAACAAGAACGAGTGGAGCACATTCTTCCTATTATGACCCAGCCTTATGACTTCCGACAATTTAAATCAACACTTCCAGAATGGGAGGAACAAATCATATTTAATGAACGTTTTAGTTATTTCCTTCAAGATGCTGAAGAAAGCCCCAAAGTAGTCCTGTTTTTTGAGGTACAGATGAAATACTTTACAGTAAATTTTTTAAGTTGCAGTTTTCTGATCATGTGTTTCTGGCAGCACTTTATTATAAGAATGGCCATACTGGGTCAGTATTATGATTCTCAGTAGTATTGCTTGAATACCATAGTTCTTTAAAGAGAACATATATTATGGTGGAGATTTTAAAAAAAACATTCAGCATTGGCCAGCTGTTCTCCCATCGAAGGGAACAGGAATAGAATTATACTAATACTAAGCAATTTTTAAAATACCTTCCTCAGTTAGATTTTATTCTGGGTAATAAATAAATACCTGGTGAATGTATCTTGTTGACACAATGAGAATGCTTCTAGAAAAGATTGAGAAGGATTTGCTAGACTGTGAGCTTTGATACTCTTTGAGAAAGGTGTAGCATATACTCCTCTCATTGCATTAGCACTTCTTGCTGACAGAAAAATAGATTAGGGGCAGTGTCATTTTTTGGGTTCATATCACCAGCAGTTTAGAGGCTGATAATGACTGTCCCCGTAGTGCTGCCACCTCCTACTTTTGTACATAAGCAAGAATAGCCAACATGTAGCCCTCAGACTTTTTGCATGTTAGCTATAATAAAAAATGTAGACATCTGTTTCCCCTTAATCATTCCTCACATAGCAATAACTGCCTCAGTCTCAAATACATTTATGTTTATAGGAAAAAATATAAAGCATGTTCTCAACATGTAACTGTACCTGCTATTTATGGACAGTTATATACAAGGAAGATTATATAGTTTTAATGTGGAAATGGAAACCTAGTGCAATCAGTATTTTTTGAACCTTCTCATATATTTTTAAATACATTGTGCATATGCAATCTGATAACAGTTCCAGATGTTCCTTTATGGTCTGCAATGTTAATAAAATTACTACATGCAAAGTACTAAAAGAAAATATTTTTGGCTTATCACAAAAGTGATAATAGTAGCGTATAGAGGCTCTTCATAGAACTCGTTTTAAAATTTGAGAGAAAAACTGCAGATGAAAGTCTGCAGTTTCTATTGATTTCACTGGAGTTACTTAGCCACAAATCGGAGGATGAATTGTACCTGTAACATTATGCATGTCATGTACAGTTGCAAAAGTTGTTGGATATGAGGAGATTTTGAATGCTGACCATGAAAATCAAGAGAATTGTATTTTAAAATGACGAAGCTAGGAAAAAAAATCTTTTAAACCACATACTTCTGTCTGGGTTAAATATTCAGTCAGTTTGGGGACATTTGAAGGGTTTGTGAAGAGCTGCTTTTATTCAGTTGTTTGTAAAAAAACTATATGAGACTGATGTGAAATAAAAAGCTTTTTGTAAAATTGAGACTTGCATTGTTGAAAATCATATCAGTGATATGGTTGTGCGTATGTTTATCATTTGGGATAGATGTGCATGTGGGATAGTTCGTAATTGACATTTTTATAATATTAAGTAAAATGAGAATTCTGTTTAAAACCACGAATTATATGTAAAATACCCACAAGAAGTACACTCTCAGTGGTAATGTATAATATGTATTCCAATTAATATCTGCAGATTCTTGATTTCTTAAGTATGGATGAAGCAAGAGCCAACTCTGAAGTACTAACTCAGGAAAGTGGTTTTCGCAAAATCTCCTGGGCATTTCTAAAGGTATTGTGAACTTAAATGATATATATACCAGAAAGAGTAAAAAGCCTGCATAAAGTAGCTAAAAGAAATTGACAACGCTAATTTTTCAAAGAAATATATTGGTGGGAAACTTTAAAAAAAAATAAAAGCAATAAAACCACAGGTATAGAGACAGATTCAGATAGAGAGAGCTTGTGCTGTTAAAAGATCATGTAGTTCTTATTCAAGTGCTATTCCTGTGTGTACTCCACTCTAGGGATATGTCTAGACTATATCCCTCTGTCACCAGAGGGATATAAATTAGACATACCGACATTGCAAATGAAGCGGGGATTTAACTATCACGTGCTTCATTTGAATAAAAATGGCCGCCGCGTTTTGCGGAGTCAGCACTTTGTCGGCAAAAAGCAGCTGTCAAGTTGGGGATTAGGCGACAAAGAAAGACATAGTCGACCAATCCCTTATGCCTCATAAAACAACGTTTAGAGGATCGGTCGACAAAAGCTTTCTTTGTCGCCAGATCCCCATCTTGCCAGCTGCCAACAAAAAGCAAAACGCGGCAGCCATTTTTATTCAAATGAAGCCTAGGATATTTAAATCCCTGCTTAATTTGCAATGTTGGTATGTCTAATTTACATCCCTCTAGTGACAGAGGGATGTAGTCTAGACATACCCCAGGTGTCTGTGTGTCCTCGCACCAGAGATCAGAGATTTTTCCTAGCAGTGTCTACCAGTGCCACACATGTGTAGTAGCAGTTTCCTGGTGTCATTGGCATCTGTTGACAGCACATGTGGCATGGCTTCCTTAGTTCCTACTCTACCGTCCTTGGCAGAAGACGGAGCACCTCACAGTCCAGACTCTTTTGCCTAAAACGAGAGAAGAAAATTAAAACTCACTCAGCTCCTTCCCTAACTGCAGTCTTACTTTCTAAAACAAAACCAAACACATTTCTGTTTTTAACTTTACTACCCCAACAACCGTCACTATGCCTTGCTTCCCTGAGTTTAAAAAAATGATACTTGGAGAGATACACTTTGTCAGATGCCACAAAGAGAGCCACATCTCACAGAAGTGCTCCTACTATAACAACCTAAGAGCCAGTTTCAGGCATGATAGAGAACTTTGCCTTAAAATTATTTAATTGGAAAAATCATTAAAGCCCACTGCGGAGGACTCTGCTATGAACTTGGAGAAATCAAGACTGAAAGACAAGGCTTAGACTTTCAGTTGCTCCAGGGTTATCATCAGACTGGAACTCTCACAAGTTGAGAGCTTACCTGGTAAGATCTCTGCCCTTGGTATCTAGCTCCACCAGACTCAGCACAGGTGAGAAACAGGGCGCCTCCGGCACTACCTCAGCACAGAAGCTGACAGCACACAAACAGGACAAGTCAGAGCAAAGACACAAAGTCTTGCTATCGGCACTGCTGATGCCAATGCGCACAACAGTGCCACCACCAGCACCAACATGGATCTTGGCACTAACACATAAGGTGCAGTTGGCACCAACTAACTCCATTAAGACGGGGTTGAAGCACGCCATGGTCATGCGCAGATCTTCATGGCTACAAGCCTCGGGGATTCCTAAAGATCTGCAAATGAAAGTGGTGGACCTCCCATTTGACAGGGCACGTCTGTTTGTGTCCAAAACAGACAAGGTCCTCCATACAATGAAGGACTCCTGAGCCACACTAAGAACCCCAGGCATATATATGCCATCAAACAAACAGAGGCAGTAAACAACATATCAAAGATCTTGGGACACATACAACAGACACCAACAGAGACCATTTGAACATAGGTCAAAACAAAATGACCATAGAGAGCGATCACAACACACCCAGGTCACAATGAACCAAACTTCAAAACAATTTCAAAACATTGGTTGAGGATCTGAAAGACCTCTCCCCAACGCCAGAAATACAGACATCTTCCAACTACATATTTGGCTACCATCTACACCGCTTTTTCCTGGTATGGGCCAACATTACAACAGACCAGTGGGTCTTGGAGATCGTCCAATCGGGATACTCAATCCCTTTGCTATACAAGCCCCCTCCCCCATTCATCTTCAAGGACCTCTCACATGAGCACCTTCTATACTTAGAGGGACAGCATCTCCTTCTAATCGGAGTGGTAGAAGGGAACCCCTATTAAGGCAGTGGTTTTTGTTCCAGTTATTTCCTTACCCAGAAGAAAACTCAGAAGGCTCAACAAATTCATACGCAGCCATAGATTCAAGACGGTCACTCTTGCCACAATTATTCCGGTGCTATACAAGGGAGACTGGTTCTCAGCCCTTAACCTTCAAATTTCCATATCATAATTCACCTACCACACAGATGCTTTCTGTGTATCACCGTGGGTTCTGAACGCTGTCAGTATAGAGTGCTATCATTCAGCCTTTCTGTGGCCCCAATGTCTTTTCAAAGACACCAGCGGTGGTTGTAGCACATCTCCAATGACAAGGGGTAATAATTTCTCAACAGTTGTCTCATCAAGGGTACAACATATGAAGAAATACTAAACATGATACAAACAACAAAAACTCTATTCCAGCACTTGTGTCTACAGATCAGTCTACAAAAATCAATTCTGGAACCAACTCAAAAATAGAATTTATAGGAGCACATTTAGATTCTACACAAGTCAAAGGAATGCTTCCCCAACACAGATTTGACACATTTACCATTCTCATTATGATAGTCCAATTCAGCCCCTTCACCACCACAAGAACCTGCCTCCAAATCCTGGGACACGTGGTAAAATATGGCAGACTCCACATGCGTTGCCTCCAGAGTTAACTTGCTACTGAGTATACTCCTTCCTGCGATGGACTAAACAAGATTCTCAGTCCCACAACATATCCTCACCTCCCTATATTGGTAGGCACAAATACAACATATGATGCAGGGAGTCTCTTTTCATCAGGTCCCTCCAATGTGTATTATAACTATGGATGCCTCCCTCATACGATTGGGAGTGCATCTGGGCGAGCACATCATTCAAGGCAAGTGATCCTTTCAAGAGTCCTGACTACATATCAATCTGCTAGAACTCAGAGCAGTACATAATGCCTATCACCACTTTATACCTATGATACAAAACCAAACCATATGAATTCTCATAGACAGCACTGTATTTATGTTCTACATCAACCAACAGGGTGGAGTACAACCTCATTCACTCTGCACAGAAGGCCTCAAACTATGGAATTAGTGCATCCGGCTGTGGTGCTTAAAAGAAGCACACGGGATCTTTTTCAGGGGGATAAGGCAATGTGCCACATCATGTCCTGCTGATGTGATAGTTGGCCAGATAAGTTGAGTATGAGGAAGGAAGTCTTTCTTTGTCGCCCAGCTGCTCTTGGGGACACCTGGGGCAGAGCAGCTGGGGTGCTGCTGGGTTGGTCCCGCAGTGCCGCTCCTCGGCGCTACTGGGCCAACCCAGCAGCACCCAAGCTGCTCTGCCCCTGGTGTCCCCAAGTCAGATGCTGCTGATACTGATCAGCAGCTGACTCTGCCTCGGGCTTCCTGGAGTCAGCCGCTGGTCAGTTTCAGCAGTGGCTGAATCTGGACGCCTGGGACAGATCAGCTGGGGTGCTGCTGGGTTAGTCCCCGCAGCGCTGCACCTCAGCACTGTGGGGACCAACCTGGAAGCACCCCAGCTGCTTTACCCCAGGTGTCCCCAAGTCAGCAGCGGCTGAATAGAGGAAGCTGGGAGCAGAACAGCTCCAATGGTCAGGCTGCCCGGAGCACTTCCGGGTTCCTGATAGTGCTGGACCATCAGGAGTGCCGGACCGTCAGATGCCGGACCATCGGAGTTTTACTGTACCTACAGCAGCCTACTTATGAACTTCTTAGAACACCACAGAAGACAGGCTTGGCCACCATTTCTCAAAGCAGCACAAATGGGACATGAATCCCTTAGTCACTCAAATGACATTTTGCAAGTGGGGATACCAGCACTTTGATCTCTTCAGAACTCACAAGACTCACAAATGCCATCAGTTCTGCTCCAGAGTGGGATCCAGCCTTATGTCAGTCACATGGACCGCACTGCTCCTCTATGCCTTCCCATCCACCCCGAGTAATTCAAAAGATATGCCAAGACCAAGTGCAAATCTTCCTCACATACCAACCTGGCCCAGACAAATTTGTTTCCCTTATGTCTATCAACTGGCACTCTGCAGTTCTTATTTACTACCACAGTGACTGGATCTCCTGTAGCAACACTACTGGTGGATGGTACACCTGAATATGGAAATTCTTCAACTCAAAACTTGGCTGCTCCATAGTTCTAGCATGCTGAAGAAGCCAGTTTCAGCTGAGTAAAACACACAGCTGCTGCTCTACAACCAGAAAAACGTATTTGTATAAATGGAAACAGTTCTCTGCATGGTGCCACCAACACCAAATGTCATTTATCATGGTGCCTATTTTCACCATACTAGAATATTTTCTGGACCTGAAAGTCTATCAGCTCCCTTAAAGTCCTTCTAGGTGCCATTGCAACATTCCATGAACTGACAGAGGGCTCTTCAATTCTTTCCCACCTAAATACCAAATGTTTCCTAACAGGGATTCACAATATATATCCAGTAGTGTGAGGTCCCACACCACCTTGGGACTTTAACCACATTCTCAAAAGTCTTACAAGGACTTCCTTTGAACCTGTAGCCATGTGTTGTCTTCACCATATGTTTGTGAAGATGGCCTTCATAGTAGCAATCACATCACCGAGACACGTAGGAGAGATGGCAGTCCTTATGGCGGATCCCCCCATCTTTGCTAATGATAAAGTGACACTCGTCCACAATCCAAATTCTTACCAAAAGTGGCCTCTACCTTTCACATTAATGGAAATATACACTTTTCTGCCTTCTTTCCCAAGCCACACAAAGATACTTTAGAGACATCCGTTCACACCTTTGATATAAAATGGGCCATCACTTTTTACCTCAATAGGACCACTCTTCTGTAAATCCACATAGCTGAATGCTCAAAAGGCAAAGCAATCTCATTCCAGCGGTTCTCCAAATAGTTAGCAACTTCTATGCATACCTACTACACCCTGCATAATAAATAACCACCACAAAGAATAATGACACATTCCACCAGAGTTGTGGCAGGTGCCACAGCATTCCTGAAAGATGTCCCATTAGTGGCCATGTGCAGAGACACAGTGTGGTCCTCTGAAAATATCTTCACAAAACACTATGCCATCGCAAGTGGTCCAATCCCTACTGCCACAGTAAGTCTAGCTGTCCTGTTGTCCATGTCCAGGACACGCTCCAAAGCCTCAAGGTGGATGTGGCTTTATAGACACCTAGAATGGAGTACCCACAGTGACAGCACTCAGAGAAGAAGTTACTCACTCTGTGCAGTAATGATGGTTCTTTGAGATATATATTCCTGTGAGTACTCTACTACCTACCCTCCTACCCTCTACTTTGGAGTCCATCTACAGGATTCATGGTAGAGAAGGAAAGGGGGCAGCCATGTTGCACGCACAGTCAGTGGATGCCAATGGCACCATGAGATGGCTACTGTGCATATGTGGCATGTCCAGGCTCTGCTAGGAAAAATTTCCGATCCCCTGCGCAAAGATACATCAACAACTAGCGTGGAGCACCCACAGAGATACAGATCTCAAAGAACCGTCATTATTGCATAAGGTGAGTAACTTCTTCATATACAGAGAAATAAGTGTGACAATAGAGAAAATAGTTATTTCTCAGTGAAGTGTACAAAATGCATGAAAAAATATATTTTCTTTTTCAAGTGCAGCACTTGGCAGAAAATCAGAAGCTTCTGAATAAAGGCTAATCAATTGATAAATTTCAGTGGGGTAGCTGTGTTAGTCTGTAGCTAACTTTGGATTGTGTCCATGAAAGCTCATGATACCATCTACATTTTTGTTAGTCTCTAAGTTGCTGTAAAATTATTTGTTGTGTTTTAAGTTTTTTCCAATTGATAAGTGTCATGGGTGACGTCTCCATGCACCTGGACCAGAAGGTTTTATTTTAGCAAATTCTGTTTATTCCAAATTCTAGTGGAGCTTTTAGTTGAATCCCAATATTGAGGGGTTTACTGTGGGTTTTTTCTCACCCTTGAAATAATGAAATTGTCGTAACTCCTCTTAATGCTACAAAAGGGGAAGCATCCTGACAGACAGAGGTTTATCTCCTGGTCCTAGTAGGCAAAAAACGTAACTTATGGAAGGGATAAGTTCAAGAGCTCACTTATTTCCTCTTTGCCTAATAGCATAGCATTACTTAGGGTTGTTTACAGGACAGATGCTACAATGGTGCAGCTATTCCACTGTAATGCTGTATCATATACACTTGTGACAGTGATAGGAAAATGCCAGTTTGGAAAAAGGCATAAAAACTAGCACTGCTTTCTGAATTACAGTATGGTTTGATCCTGCAAACATACTGATGCAGTGCTTGCTTTCTCTCAAGAGTAATGAAGTGTCTAGAGTCAGACATCATTCATGGTAATAATAACTATCCCCAATAGTAAGTTGAGCCTCTTCTTGGTCTAAAGCAGGGGTCTCCAAACTACGGCCCGCGGGCCGGATGCGGCCCGCGAGGCCGTCTCATCTGGCCCGTGGAGACCGTCCCTGAGGCGCCGCCGAACGGGCCCTTCTTGCCGCGGGGGGGGGGCCCTGTCAGGGGTGTGCGGCGTGTACTCACGCCGCGCCGGGGCAGGAGAAGCGGGCCGCTCTGCTGACAAGCGGCCGCGCGGCGGCAAACGGCGCAGGGGGCGGGGGTTAGCACGGGCGGCGTTCCCCCGCCCAGACTGACAGGGCAGCCGGCCAATCAGGGGGCAGGATGGGCGGTGAGCTTTTCCCATTAAAATGCATGCCCCTTGTTCCATGAGGCTATGTTACAAATTGTCACCTCATTCCCTGCATGATAGGAGAGCGATCACATCTCTTCAAGTGTGAGTGTCTTAGGCTGAACATATTGAACCACCCCCAATTTCAAACAGTGATTTCTAAAGCCAGAAATGTCTGCTATTTTGGCATCCAGGAAACAATTTCACCATTCACACTAATACAGGTGTTCATGTGTAGTGTATCAATGTGTTATTAAATAATAACTGAATAAAATAATATTAAATAAATAATTAAAAACAACATCCATGTTTTGATTGTTTTTTATTTGGACCTCAAGTGTGTAGTCGGCCCCCGAACTGCTGTTTGATAGTTAATGCGGCCCTCGGGCTGAAAAGTTTGGAGACCCCTGGTCTAAAGTGTCAATGTCATCAAGGACTTGTATGAATTTTGAGTTAAAGTAACATATGTCTTTAATTTTTCTAAATTATCCTTTTAGCTAGTAGGTGCAAATGGAGTTCTAAACATTAATGGGAAACTGCGTCTGCAATTATATTATCCACCTCCAAGGACCAGGACACAGTCAAATGTTATTGAGGTTTTTGATTGGTGGGCAAAAGGTCCTAGAAATCGTTACCCATCAACATTATATGTAACTATAAAAGGCATAAAACTACCAGATCATGTAAGTTACACACATTTACATATTTATATATAAACAGAAATACTTAAGATCTATTCAAGCTATTTATTCATAACCATGATCAGATGGAAAGTTAACATTTTTAGGATTTTTTCTTTAACTGTCTTTTATAACTTGCTATACCAAGGATACTAGATCTTAACATGTCCTCTCTTTAAAAAAAATCTAATTAGCACTTTACAACTTTCTGTAAACATTTTTTCCTGCTACTCTGAATGTAACATACAGTCAGTCATGTGTCATCTTTAACCTCTTTCTCCTCTCATATTAGTGAAAATTGGGCCAAATATCATTAAAGTTAATTGATTTACATGGTGTAGATATAGTGTAAGTTAGAGGACAATTCAGCTCCTAGTTTTTATTTTTGTTCTAAAAGCTGTATAAGAAAATGTAATTTTTTATCAGATTTAACACCCTTTAAAGAAGGTGAAATCTTAAATTCAAAATAGCTTGAATTATTTGCTCCAACAACCCCAAGATGGAGTGTTAAAAATAAAATTTTGTTAAATACTATACATATTTTTTTACTGGCTTCTTTATCTATAATCTTGACAGATACCTTATTTTTGTTTAATAGTGACATGGGTGAATTGTGGCATGGAACATACATGGATGGGCACCTCCACATGGCCAGTCCACTCTCAGTTTTTTTGCATGGCCCCACATAGTCTCTGAGTTGTGGAAAGTGTCTTGAACTGTTTCACTGTTTCATTGAACCCAAAGTGAATTTAATCCTTTCCATATTTATAGTATTTTTAAATTGTTGTTCTTGTTAAACATTTTTGCCTTTCCCAGCTTTCTGACTTTAGGGAATGATCTTGCAGTCAGTCACTACTTCATGGTTTTTATTCCTTCATATATTCCTTCTGAAATCTGGAGGTCTAAGTGCAATAGTGACTGTTTGTTATACATGGAATAACGTGTGCATTGATAACTAGTTATCCAAACAGTTTTATTAGTATTATAGTAGTGCCTACAAGGCCTCAGTGTACTGGGCACCATGCAGACATAGAGTAGGAGTCGGTCTTTGGTGTGAGTTATAATGTAATACACACGCCAGACAGAGCAGGAAGGAAAACAGACGCATAGAGAATGAAAGTGACTTGCTTCTCCATGACATTAAGGCATGTTTTTGGAGTGATTTCATTGTGCGTTTCATTAAGATGTTTACAGCTTTTCCTCATGAAAGTTGTCAAAAGACAAACCTGAGTTCAGTAGCCACTATGGCAGTCAGCCTTGATAGGGATCACATATGTTGCTCAAATGTGCTATATAATGTTCTGTCTCTTTTGTGAAATTATTAGATTCTGCTCAAATATTAGGAGATGTTCATTAAGCATGCTTAGCAGTGACTTTTCAGTCACTTTTAAACTTCAGTCTCCCTCACAATTAATTCTACAGATATTACAATGCACTTGTCTACCACTTAAGCACTTATATAGGGGTTTAATTAATTCAGTGACCCTGTGCTGGCCCTTGGCATCAAGTGTGAATTTCAGTAAAGTCTGTTAGATTTGGGGTTGGTAGTTCAACGTGAGTGGGAAAACTCATGCTTAAACAGAAGTGGGCCCAATTGTTGGAAAAAGGCTAATAAAACAAAAAAGGATTAGTCAGCTGTGTAAGTAAAAGATTTTTTTTCAACCATCTGACAAAACTTTACCACCATAATTTATTTTTCACCAGTTTTAGGTTTGGTTATTTTTTCATTAAACTTCTTTTAGATTTGATAATGAATGTCACTTACTTTTGGTGGAATTATTATGTATAGGTTGAACCTCCTAAATCCAGAACTCTCTGGTCTGGCAACATCCATGGTCTGGCAGGTTCATGGATGTTGCTGGACCATAGATCCCCAGCACCTGGAAGTGCAAGCTGGTTGGGAGTCCAGTGGTGGGGAGCCCCATCATTGGGAACTGGCAAGCCCTGTCCTGGGGAGCCCTCGCTGGGCGTGACACCAGTGGGGGCAGCTGTGGAACTCAGTCCATGGGAAGCCCTGGCTGTGCACGGCAGCAGTGGGGGCACCTGCGGAGCCCCATCTCTGGGAAGCCCTAGCCAGAGGGGACAGAAGTGTGGCAGCCATGGAGTCCTCTCCCCAGCAAGCCCCGGCTGGGTGGGACAGAAGCGGAGCCACAGCGGCTGAGGAACTGCATCCTCAGAGAGTCCCAGCCAGTTGGCAGAAGTGAACTGTAGCCAAGTCCAAATCCTGTAGCAGCAGGGCTGGAGCGGAGCCAGCTGGAGGGAGGGACAGTGTCCTAGAAAGCTGTTGGCATGGGACCTTTACTGATCTAGCAAATTTCCTCATTCAGGACTGGTCAGGTCCCAAAGGTGCCAGACCAGGGAGGTCCAACCTCTGTTACTTTTTAACAGCATGTATTACTGTACTATTCGGTATTTTTTCAGATACAAGGATTTCCCCCTTTTAATTTTCTTTGTGTTTACACAAAATACATTTGGATCTTAACATTTTTACAGACATTTCAGTTTTGTGAAATATGTCATTGTACTTAATATTTTGTATTTTCCTGCACTTATTTATTTTGCTATTGCTATTCTCTCTTCAATTAGGTAGATCCTTC